ATTATACGTAACAACATTTGGCACATAACCCTCCTTATTTTCCATTTCCTTGAGAAATCCAACAGCCTCATTGATTGCCCCATTTTTACAAAGACGGTTGATTACCATGTTATAAGTGTATACATCAGGCAGATATCCTCACAGCAGCATCATCATACAATATCTGAGCTCGATCCACTTTTTTATCAGGCTTCAAACAAAACTTAAGGATTTTGCCTAAAACAGACAATCCATAATCCATAAAATGTAGATGGCAGAAGGTATTAATCAAGATGCTTAGAAACATCATGAGTGATTCCAGCAAGTTCGATTCGCTTGGATAAAGAAACGACAGTCTCATGATATATATTTGTAAAGGATTATTATTACATATCATAGTTAAATATATTTTATATTAAATATCTAAAATACCCATCAATATTTTTATTTTTATTTTCATGCATATTGAATATTTTAAATATTTTTATATAAAGCACAATTAACTATTATATAACAACATCCATCCATAAAGATAGTGTATTAGCAATTTTCAAAATACAAATGTTGAAAATAACAAAGTGAATTTAGCGACTCTCATTAGATAAGTACTGTACATCCCAATCATTCAGTAAGCAAAAGCAAACTGTTAATGGGAGACGCTTTGGTTTTGCTGTCACGATGATATGCAAAGTGAATCCAATGCCGACAAAGGCATGTGGAATTTAAAGTAGAGCTAATACTTAAAGTACTATGGGGACCAACTCTACCTTGAAGTAGCTCGTCCTTTCTTTCCAATACACGCTTTCTTTCACAACTTTCATACCTCTCTCTCTCTCTCTCTCCCTGCTACTCCATAATTCTTTTTTCATTTCCAAAAAAAAACTAGAGAAAATGGCAGCTGAGTTTCTTCTTACGTTTACCTTGGAGGAGACACTGACAAGGGTGGGCTCCATTGCTGCTGAAGGGATCAGTCTTGCTTGGGGATTAGAGGGGCACTTGCTAAAGCTCAAGGAGTCGTTGACCATGATCAAAGCTGTGCTCCAAGATGCAGCCAGAAGGGCAGTAACAGATGAGTCCGTGACGCTTTGGCTGGATAAGGTTCAAGACCTAGGTAATGATGCTGAAGATGTTCTAGACGAGTTTGCTTATGAGGTTCTTCGCAAAGACCTAAAGAAGGGAAAGCAGGTACGTGACTTCGTTTCGAAACACAACCCTGTTGTATTCCGTTTGAATATGGGTCAAAAAGTTAAGAGGATCAATGAAGCCCTCGATGAAATTCAGAAACTTGCAACTGGCTTTGGGCTTACATCTCTCCGATGTGTGGATGGAGCTTCTGAGATCTGCTTGGACCGACAAACAGACTCCTTCCTTGACAGCTCAGAAGCTGTAATAGGAAGGGAGGATGATATCTCTAAAGTCATGGAATTGCTGATTAGCTCTGTTGACCAACAAGTTCTTTCTGTTGTCCCTATTGTGGGGATGGCAGGTCTTGGAAAGACTACTATAGCTAAAAAGGTTTGTGAAGAAGCAGAGGGCAGAAAACTTTTCGATGCAACAACATGGGTTTGTGTTTCGAATGATTTTAATAAAGTTACGATTTTGGGAGAAATGCTGCAAACTCTAGATAAAACTACCGGTGGGTTAAACAATCTAAATACAATTGTTAAAAACCTTAAGAAGGAGCTTGAAAAGAAAACATTTATTCTTGTACTTGATGACGTGTGGAATGATGACCATGATAAGTGGGATGGCTTGAGGGAGCAACTGTTAAAAATCAATGACAAGAATGGGAATGCTGTTGTTGTTACAACCCGCAGCAAGCAAGTCGCGGAGATGATGGAGTCTTCTCTTGATAGTGGGCATGAACCTGGTAAGCTATCGGATGATCACTGCTGGTCCATCATCAAGAAGAAAGTGAGTGCGAGCGGAGGAGTGTTGGTAAATTCAGACTTGGAAGCTATTGGAAAGGAGATTGCAAAGAAATGTGGAGGGATACCATTAATTGCCAGTGTTTTAGGAGGAACATTGCGCAAAAAGGAGAGACAAGAGTGGCAGTCTATTTTAAGTAGTAAAATTTGGGATTCTAAGGATGGAGATAAAGCTTTGCGTATATTGAAATCAAGTTTTGATTACTTGTCGTCACCATCATTGAAGAAATGTTTTGCATACTGTTCCATTTTTCCTAAAGATTTTGACATTGAAAAGGAAGAGCTAATTCAACTGTGGATGAGCGAAGGTTTTCTTGGGCCATCACATGGGAGGATGGAGGACATTGGTAACAAGTATTTCAATGATTTGCTTGCAAATTCCTTTTTCCAAGATGTTCAGAGGAATGAGTATGGGATGGAAAAAAGTTGCAAAATGCATGATCTTGTGCATGATCTTGCTTTACTGGTTTCAAAATCAGAAACGTTAACCCTGGATGCTGGTTCAACTGTTGATGGTGCATCTCACATTCGTCATCTAAATCTCATTTCCTGTAGGAGTGTTAAATCAGCATTTTCAGCAATTGATGCAAGGAAATTGCACACTTTTTTCTCAAAGATCAATGTACTAAATCAGTGTTTCGAATTCAGAACCTTGAGAACTCTCAACTTGCGAGGTGCTGATATCACTGAGTTACCAGATTCAATTTGCAAGCTGATACATTTGAGATATCTTGACGTCTCAGATACTAAAATCAGAGCGTTACCTGAATCCATCACAAAGCTCTACCATTTGCAAACATTAAGATTCAGTCGTTGTAAGTTGGTTGAAATGCTTCCCAAGAAAATGAGAAATCTAGTCAGCTTGAGACATCTTCATTTTAGTTATGATTTCCAAGTGCCAGCTGAGGTGAGATTCTTAACGTGCCTTCAAACATTGCCACTTTTTGTTGTGGGTTCAGATGGAGGCCATAAAATTGAAGAGTTGGGATGTTTGAATGAACTAAGAGGAAAATTGAAGATTGATGGGCTTGAGCATGTGAGAGACAAAGAAGAAGCTGAGAAGGCAAAACTGCGCGAGAAAAAAATGAACAAACTGGTATTTCGTTGGAATTCAGGGATAGAAAGCAGGTGCAATGTTAATGATGAGGATGTGTTGGATGGTCTCCAGCCTCACCCAGACATAAGAAGCTTGAGGATTGAGCATTACAGTGGTGAAAATTTCCCATCGTGGATGTCAATATTGGCACTCAATAATTTAATAAAGCTGCAACTGGTAGATTGCAGCAATTGCAGACAACTCCCAATACTTGGACGTCTCCCTCGCCTTAAAATTCTATCGGTAGATAGAATGGGTAGTGTGAAATGTATAGGCAATGAGTTTTATGGTGGCAATGGCAGTGCAACAGTACTTTTTCCAGCATTAAAAGAATTCACTCTGGAGATTATGAATGGTCTTGAAGAATGGATGGTACCCGGAGGAGAAGGTCATCAAGTATTTCCTTGTCTTGAAAAGTTGAAGATGAACAGGTGTGGTAAGTTGAAAAGCATTCCGATAAGCCATCTTTCATCTCTCGTAGAGTTTGATATCTGTAGCTGTGATGAAATGTGTTCTTTATCTGGAGAATTTGATGGCTTCAAATCTCTTAGATATTTGAGAATAAGGTATTGTTCAAAGCTGGCATCCATTCCAAGCATACAACACTGCACAGCTCTGGTGGAATTGAATGTTGATGGGTGCCCGGAGTTGATCTCAATTCCAGATGATTTTCGAGAATTGCAGTGTCCTCTGGAGCAATTGAGTATTTGGTTTTGTGGATTAACAGCTGTTCCAAGTTGGCTACGGTCATGCACATCTCTCGTTGAATTAGAAATCGTGCACTGTGAGAGTTTGAGTTATTTCCCAGAGGATTGCTTCCGCTGCCTCACCCAATTGAAGGAATTGACTATTGGTTGTTTCTCAGAGGAGCTGGAGGCTTTTCCTGCAGGAGCTATGAATTCAATCCAACACTTGAGTGGGTCCCTTGAAATCCTATGGATATATGGATGGGATAAAGTGAAGAGTGTACCACATCAACTTCAACACCTCACTGCCCTTAAGAAATTAACTCTATATAATTTCAATGGGGAGGAATTTGAGGAAGCTTCGCCAGATTGGTTGGGCAACCTTTCATCTCTTCAATATCTTTGTATCTTCCGTTGCAAGAATCTAAAGTATCTACCAAGTTCAACAGCAATGCAACGCCTCTCCAAATTAAACTTCTTAGAGATTTGTGAGTGTCCGCTTCTTTCAGAAAATTATAGGAAGGACAACGGCCCTGAGTGGCCCAATATTTCTCATATCCCAATAATCTTTATGGATAGCAGATGTTTACAATACAAGGTAAGTTTGAAATATCTGTCAATTAGTTGCGAAATGGGAACTCACAAAAGGGTTAGTCCAGTCTTTTTAAAAAAATAATAAATAAATAAATTGTTCAAAAATATATACTTATCATAAAAAAGTTAAAAAATAATTATTTACTTCATTTTCCTTAAAAATTAAATCCATATATTTTTGTTTATTTATATTTAATTTGAATGAATAATATTGTAAAAACAATAAAAATTATATACAATTGCCTATAATATTTAATGATTTTTCGTTTGTTCTTTGTATGCAGGAAATGAATTAAATACGTGCAGAATCTGAAACAGGAAAAAAACTGTGTTATGTGGAAGCGATTTTAGGTATATTTCAATTCCTTTCCTTTCGAACTTCTTTATATCCATTGATGTCTTTATATATATATATATATATATATATATATATATATATATATATAATAATTTTGAAGAATTTAATGTAACTTTCGAAGTTTTATTCTTTTCTTTTTAAATGATGATAAGCTTGATTTTAGGTATATTTCAATTCTTTTTTTTTTTTTTACTTTCTGATTTTTACTTCCTTTTTTAAATGGTGTCTTTATTTTTTAATATATAACTTATTTTATGATGGGGTTGTGGTTGTGGTTGCTCATAAGATGAATGAGGCTAGCAATTACTGACCACACTAAGCATTAAAGCATAGCAGTACTGTTCGTGTCAGAGGCAGTGATGGCTGTATTGGTGGACATGGTGGTGGAGATGGCTGAGATCGTAAAACATCAAATAAACTCAGTATGATAACAGCTGCCTCAGCTAATTATCAGTTGTGGATCAGCAGCATAGAAGAAGGCAGCAGCCTAAGGAGAGAAATTAAGGTCTTGCAAATATTTATTTATTTGTTGCTTTTATTTATTATTTATTAAGAGTACGTCAGACTAGGAAAATGATATGAGAGTCCTAATTAGTATGGTATTTTAATTAAAACTTTCTATGTTAGTGTGAATCTGTCTAGGCAATAGCCTATTATGTTTGTCTTTGTATAAAGAGCGGACTCTTTCTGAATAAAGGAATAGAATAATTCAATCAAGAAAAACCTAAAAGAGTTGGTGGTCTCTAAAACAAACCATCCATTGTTATCTGTTCACAATAGGTTTTTTTACAAAAGAATCGAAATGTGAATAAGGGAAAGCTATTTGATTTCCCTGTTAATTGACCCTTAACGAGATCCTTAACTCGGGACTATAATATTATGCCTCTATTAATAATTAAAGACTGTGATTTTTGCAGTGATCTGGGAATGCTAGTAGCGATTAGCATTTGACATAGGATTGCAATGTTCCATTGCACAATGCCAACAAGTAAAGCAAAGTAGGCCTTTTCTGATTAAAGTTAGGCTTTTCGCTGCCTTGGGTGGAAAATTCTTGGATGATAATCAAGAATGCAAGAATGCAGGTTGATCTTGATATTATTTACCATATTAGATTTCCTAGCTTTCAGTACTACAATATTTTCTGACTTCTTTTATATATGTTATTGACTAACGTTAAAAATCAGCACTCACTGCTTTGTATCCTCTTCATAGGAAATTCTATAGCAACAGAGGTATATTCATTACCCTAATATTACAATATAAATCTTTCATACCTTCATTTAGAGGTCATTAATTTTTTATTTATATCTTCAATTAAGGCCCTGCCTATCTTCCTTGATGTGGTTCTTCCTGCTTGGTGGTGCTATACAATCAGTCACCACGATACTCGCATTCGGTAAGCTAAAATCTTACATCTGATTCTGACCAAGAGTGGCATCTATTTAGACTTTAAAAGAACAATACCAATAAATGTACAGATGGCAAAAGGAAAATTGATATATTTGAAGGTGAAGGAACATCTGATGTTGCTGCGAATAACAACAGGGGTTCTACAGTTGAGTCTTTAGACGATATTGAAGAGGGCACGTATTGGAATCGTCTACCTGTTTCCGAGGATTCAAATTCATGTACTCAGGGTGCACTAACTACATCAGAAAGAGCAAATGGCTCTGGCTCTGCTGCTGAGAATTTAAATGTAAAGGTTAAAGGTGTGGATCAGTTTGAATCTGTTGCCAGATTACCTATTCCGACAGAGTTATCATGTTTTATATGTTGGACAAAATTTAGTTCAACCAGAAGAGTGTTGCCATGTGGTCATCGATTTTTTTATTCATGAATCCACTTCTACAGTTGAGTTTTTTTGGATTGTTAGAGTTCAGGTGCCATTTGATATCTTTGCCATTTCTCTACTTTGATGTGTTTATCTTTACCCTTTGGATGATTACGGTTGAAAAGTTTTCTTCTGCTGCTGCTGATGATGATTCATGTAGGTTTCCAGCAGAAGAATTTCAACCTGTCCTCTGCAAGGCTGGGTTTTCAGTCATAACAAAGGTGGAGGATGCAGCCACCTCTGATCTGAAAAATTATTCTCAAACTCTACTGCGTGCCTCATCAGCAGTAGATGTTTTCGTTAATATGTTTCAAGAACAAAATAAATTTGGTTCAGGTAATTTTCCATAATCCTTGTTTTAGCTGAAGCAGCTATATAACTGTTCCTAGATTTCTGAAGATAAACTTTCTATGATATGTTTAACTTTACTGTGGCTATAGCATTAATCTTCGGTAACTAAGTATCATGTAGAAGTGGATTGATCGTAAACTTCCTTTAGAAGTGGATCATCTTAAAATTAAAAATTTAAAGGTTCATCTTTAGTGATTTCTTATTGGAAGAGTATATCAATTTGGGAATTGATACTGATGCCTTACATTTAAATATAGGAAGTCAGTGAATTGAAGACTAAAGATTCATTTCCAGATTCGTACTTAATTCTGATCAATGCATTGGTTATGTGGTATGCTTCTTTTTTCTTGTTCTAGCACTTGGTTCCATGTTCCTTTCTTCCCTCTCAGTAATATGTTTCCATTTATAAATTAGTAGATCATCATTGCTGTAAACGTCGGATTCAAATTAGACAGAACCCACAACCACCCTGATCATAAGCTGGTGTAAGGTAAGAGTACTTATCAAACTGTTCCTTTTGATATCATTCTGTAATTTGTTATTGAGCGATGTTTTCCCTTCCAATACCAAAACAGCCAGTTGTCTCTATTTTAATTATTGTATACTCAGCGAACCTACAAGACTGAAGGAAGCCAGGGAATGATTGTTTAAAGCTTCTGTAGAACGTGTGACCAGGCCAGTCTGCTGATGTCCTTCTCAGATGAGTAAATTTGTTTAAAAGCAAGGAAATGGATGAAGCTGGCGGTTCAAGAGCTCAATATGGGCATGGATGCAAACTCTTATTTATGTGTATGCAACGGAAATTATATATTAGATTTTGGTTTTAAACATTTAATAATCCAAATTATGAACTTGTCTAATGGTAATGTGTTTGGGCAGGAAGGAGAGGTTCAGAGCTGGAGTTTACCTAGCTAGAACTTGCCATGCACTTGTGTTGCTGCTGACGTCAATAATTCCCAGCAATTTCACATGGTCCTATCATGTTCTTGCTGGTAATTATAGTTACTATGGTCCTCATCAGTTGCCTTCTCTTCCATTTTGGGCTCTACCACAATGTTGCTTATTAAAATTTTTATTTTTTTCTTTGAACAGAAATTTAAGTAGGTTTTTATCTCTCTCTGTGTCAAAGTTTTTACCATGCCAGTGGATTTGAGTCCAGGATGCACCTGGTACATATGGATAGAAGAGTTTGCAATCTTCGTATTCTAATCTATTTTCCCGATTCATCAGAAAAAATAATAATAATACAAAAGCATGGTGCAACCTTTTTATCTTAATCCTTCTCATAGCAACAGGACAGGTAAGGTGGTTAGATTGGCATAATTCAGAATGGCTTGGGCATAACAAAGTGATATTGTTCAAATTATTCTGCTTACTGTTCTAATTCGTTCCATCAATTTGCGACTGCATTCAAAGCAGAAGGATATCTGGATGAAAATGTTGTGATTGCAATAACTTCAAGGACCAATAACTTTAGAAAACAACTTCAACTCCCTCCTCGAATTCCAAATGCAATTGGGATATCTCAACCTTTTCAGGAAACGACGAACCAAGAAAAACATGACTGCAATTTCCTATGTTAAACTGAACCACAATGTTCTTTAATGATAAACATGAGAGCCAAGGCATACAAGCAATACTGTCATACTTACACACAAAATTAGACAAGCGAATCGAGCACCCCAATAACTGCTAAGACTCTAAATTAAATTAAAGGGGAATCAGCACTTGCTCTTTGCAGGTTTACAACTAACACAAAGTGAAAAACTCATGTTTTAAATTTTCTTCTTACAGTTAAATATACAAAATAAAAAAAACCTCATCTTCAATCGTCCACCACCTTGATGGCACGTAGCATGGCAAATATCCAAACTGCAGCAGATGACCACCAAGCTTCTCCATACCTTTGTCTATCACAAATGCCATCACCTAATCAACAATTTCATCTATTTAATAAATAAATACTACTACTACAAAAATTTTGTATAGTTTTCAGAATAAAAAAACAAAAAGAATTCCAAATGATAATCTTACTCATGTACATTGAAATATACCCATCCATGTCCCTTCTATTCCTACCTTAATATTACCTTCAACTTTGTCAAAAACTAAGGGTAATCACACAAAAACATAAACAAGACGCATCAGCCTCCCATCACCAGCCGAAACAGTTTTTTCTTTCCCATACAAACTGCCATCTATTTTTTTCAACCTTTTCCTCCACTCATTTGTGTTCCAAAATTTTCCTTTGATACTCAAAGGACAAAAGTTATGCTAAGGAAAAGCTGGAAGAAAATTTACATAGAAAATGTGGTGAAAAGAAATGGCCACAAGCAGATGTGCAATCTCTATTTTAACTGATAATTATTCACCATATATTGGAAGGATCCTGGAAAAACATACACAAACAAAGTTGTATTTGAGAATTAGAAATACTGAAGTAGTCTTGGAAAAAAACAAGGAAAAAGCACATAAAATGAAACTGTTATTAATTCTGTTTAGAAATAGGCATTGTAAAATGTTGATCGGATTAAATTGAAACAAAAATCATAGAGAAACAATAACGAAGATTTAAAAAAACAAATAGAAAAATATCTAAGAAAAAAAATCAAATTGACTAATGCATTATTGTCAAAAGCATCATCCTTCCAAGAAATTCAATAAGTAAAAAAAAAAAAAAAAAAGGAAGCAATTTCAGGACAACTGATGCTTTAAGCCAAGCAAACTGCAAAATTGTTGAATTGTCTCAAAAGAAATTCTAGAAAAATGCATGCAAAGAAATCATAGACCATATCTATATTAGAAAAGGAGACTGAATAAGATGTCAAAGCAGAGTTTTTAAGGGCTTTAAGAAACAGAAAAAAAGGTTTATGAAAAGAGAAAATTAGTAAGCAGTGGAAAGCAGAAACATTCTGCAAAAACAAGGTAACAAAACCACAGCCATAAACGCAAACTTACGATTCCCGCAACATTTTGGTCCAATCTCCAAAACATTTGACAATAGATTATTCTGTAAGATGTTTGACCAGGTCCTGCTGGTTTGTGAGGACCTCATGTATAGAAGATAACTCATTCCTCAAAACACATGCTGCTAGTTTAATAACACATAAATTGAATCTTAAAACAAAAGAATTTAATGAAAATCCTGGTGCCCTAGTGGTTGGGAATGAGGAAAAATTTTGTACAACAAACTTAACCAACATACCAATGTTGATTAACTACTCATAATCTAGCAGACAATAGAGGAATCAAAACAAACACTACAAGTGGAGAAAATCCTTGTACTCTTTAGCTATAATTCATGGCCTTTTAATAAACATGGAAAAATAATGTAGTTTGACACTCGATTCTGTATTAGATAACCCTGAAATAACATTTTATTAACCCTCTTAGACAACCATCATCAAGTGTTGTATTTGTATTCCTGACCTTAATTGTGAACTCTTTTCTTTATAAAACCACCATCACTTTCCAAGTTAACTTACCTTTTAACCTGGAGCAGCAATTTTTCCATCTCACATTCTCTAAAAACTACATTAAAAAATCTCCTATTCTGAGATGATTTGTCACAAGCATCGTTATCCTTTTATACATTGATTCCGTTGACGTTTCCACACTTTTCGAGTCTTGCTCTTCTTACTCTTTTCATTTTTCCTCCTCTTCTTCCTTTTTTTCCCTGAGTGACTGTCATCAGCAGATTAGCCAACATCAAAAGTTCTGGATATGTTATTTTCTTTCCTTAAGAGTACAAATCTAAAGTAGACAGAGAAACAGAATGCTGCATGCAACAATAGAATTACATCCATTCTCAAGATCCTCAATGGAAAGAACAGAGAGTAAATTGCAAATGTCCATAAATTTCTGTTTAAGTTTTTTACTCTCTCTCTTTTGGTTCATTGGGAGGCTAGTTAATAGCTCACCCTATCTCTAAATCCTTTCAGTCTAAGATGTAAATAAGATTTGATCCACATCACTTAGTATGCAGCCAAGTGACTTCACTATCTATGACTTTAAAAGAATGTGCATGTGAGTCTACTTATCTTTAGCTTAAAAGAAAAGAAAAATAATAATAATGTGTTGTGATACCCTACAAATTACTACAAATAATTAATGTTTCCCATGTACTGTGTCCTGGTTTTTCCCCTTGCCTGTTAACCTAAAATTAAATTTCTAGCCTAAATAACAGGCTAGCATCCACTGACAAAGGATGTCAAAAGCAATGGATAAAACCAGAATCAGAAGGTTCAACATAGAGATACTCAGTACTCACATAAAGCTCTGTTCCTTCTGATTTTATTCCTCCTGCAGAGACATAACATGTTTCAAACTGTCAGGCTTGTACACATCTTGCTTACCTTCTTCCTCTTTAATGGAATTATTATGGCTACAAATGTCAGTGTCAAGAATTTTCTTATCTACCCATCCTTTCCTATTTAACTTTGGCTTTGCACCCTTTTCATACCCATCTTGCAGACACAGTTCATGGTCACAGCTGTAAGTCTTGAAATCATCTTGCTTGCCTTCATACTCTTTAATGGCATCAAGAAGTTTCTTATTTGCATGTTTCCTTTTCCTCTTTGGCTTTGTAACACTTTCAGGATCCATCTGAGTGGGAGGCAGATTGGAATTCCATGGCAAGACAGCCCTACTACAAGATTATATCAGATAAGATCAATAAAGTAATGAGATAATCAAGTTTTTCCTAATTAAGGTGCAATGAACTAGGATGAGCTGAAGAAAAGGAATATGAATGTATTTTCATGCATATAACATAGAGTAAAAGGCTAAAACCAAAGTACTGACTCATCATTTACTTGCTTCTGATTTTCATTCTTCGCCAATAGTATATCCTGCCTAGTTTTATCAACTTGAGCTTCCTCTTGGACTTTATCTTCTCTGATAACATTGAAATCAAAATGATTGTCAGCTTCAAAATGTATTTCTTTTCCTTTCCTAAATGTTTGTACTGAGCTCAAGCACAATTAGGGATAAATAAATTTACATCTTATAAAAATACAAACTTTATTGAAACGTTTGATTTAACAAACTATCCTTAGTATCTAGTTATTATTTTACCCATTGAGGAAAAAAAATCAAATAGGCCATCAACTTCATCGAATTCTTTAACTATTTTTATTATATTTGGATACAACTTTTGATAAAATAAAGCAAAGAAGAACACAACTTAGCAATTCACTTCACCATCACAAACATCCAATTTAATACTATAGAAAATTTTCAATGATAACCTATATGATGCACATGCCAAAACAACTAGTGTTTAATTTGTGGGGAGGGGGGAAGGGGGCATGTAATATGCATATTGGTGTCAAGTGTAATCCAAAATTGCACTAACTCGTCATTTGTGACCTTTTAAGTTCCTTTATCGGATTGTCAACTTCATCGAATTCTTTAACTATTTTTATTATATTTGGATACAACTTTTGATAAAATAAAGCAAAGAAGAACACAATTTAGCAATTCACTACACCACCACAAACATCCAATTTAATATTATAGAAAATTCTCAATGATAACCTAAATGATGCGCATGCCAGAACAACTAGTGTTTAAATTGTGGGGAAGGGGGAAGGGGGCATGTAATATGCATATTGGTGTCAAGTGTAATCCAAAATTGCACTAACTCGTCATTTGTGTCCTTTTGAGTTCCTTTATCAGTCACCAGCCTCTCCTGTAAAGTGTTTTTAGCTACATCATTTGTGTCCTTTTGATTTTCTTTATTAGTCACCAGCATATCCTACAGATTGTTTTTAGCTTCAGCTTGATTTGGCTGAGCTTTATGCTCGTAACTCGAATGACTGTCAGCATCAAGATTTTGTTTCTCCTTTGCACACTTCTTCCTTTTCTTCTTTAGCTTTTCAACATTTCTACATACCACGTCAGAGGATTAAGCAAGATCACTCACAAAACCAATCTTAGTGCAAATACCACACACTAAAAAAAGAAAGAAAAAGAGAATGGAGAAAGACAAACAGGGTGAGGATGCAAACCTCTGAGGCTACCAAAACAATTGGATGTCATAATGCATTATAGTAGTAATCCAAAATGAATCCTAGATGCTTAAAGCTACCCTAGATAAATTACAAACAAAAGGGCATGTTGATGGTTTCCTTTTCTGAGAATACATTAAAACATGAAAAGGCTTTCTCATTTAAACAAAATCTGCATTGCTTTATGATTTGGGAGAATGCTCTTATAAATAATGGGAGGATGCTTTAAATTTAGCTAGTTTGCTAGTTTGACCACAAAAAATATAAATGAAGAGGAAAAAAGATATTAGATCCACTAGTTTCAAAGCATCTGTCAGTTTTCAAAATGATTAACCAACCTTGGGTATACCTGCAGTAATTGATCTTGAAATCTGGTTCAACATTTATTAGGAGAAAGTAATGCATATCTGTGTCCTATATGCCCAATGGACATGGAGGGCACCACATTAATACATATACCTATACATATTCAAATCATGAACCTGTGACAAGATTCTTGGGACGATAGTGAAACTTACTTATCATTTGTAGTCTTCTGGTCTTCTTTAGTTACAAGCAAATCTAGGCTCAATTTGTCAGCCTCTACCTCACTTCGCATGCATTTCTGCTGACCAAGGGCCCTGCCAAAGAAAAAGCCGTCCTCAAGTTATTTCTTCTCTTTGTAATGTTTTTCCCTATTCTTCTTAGATTCTGCACCATTCTGAATAGGGGTGAGCATTATTCTGTTAAAACCGAAAAACTGAATCAAGCCAAATCAAATTAGCAAATTTCGGTTTTCTTTTTAAAAAAAAATTTGAAAAAAAACCAAAATCAAAAACTGAAATTATTTCGATTCAGTTCAGTTTTTTTTTTCAAATTCAGTTTCCATCGAAAACCTAATTAGTTTTTTTTTAACACATACCCAAGCTCTTTTTTTTCCTTAATAAAAGAGGCACCTATGGGTTTAACTAAAAGAACAATAGCTTTAATGATTTTTTCTACTTAAAATAAAAATATTTTTCATTAATTATTTATTGAAATAATAAAATAATTTTATATAATATATTAAATTGACTCACAAACAAATAAAAAAAAGACTGGGATAAAGTAATTCTTTATAAATACACAAATTATCTGTGGATGAATCCTAAAACCTTATGAAAAAAAAATTATCTCCTTGTATTAAAATTGGCACAAAAATATCCCATTAAAAAATTGACCCATAGCCACTCGCATTTATAATAGTACTATAGTAGTATTAATAACAACGAACAATAATAATTTTTTCACTCTTTTTATGTTTATACTAAACATAAATTAAAAATTGGATTTTTTAGATTATCTATTCAACAATAAAATAGGCACAAAACAAGTAGATTGAAAAGAATATGAAAAATTAACAAAAAAACCAATTGTAACGTGATTGAAAAAATAATGAGAAGCCCAACCAATCTAGTTTATAATATAAATAGAAACAAATTTAGTATAGAAAAATAATAATAATCTTACACAATTTTCTTATAAAATCAAATGTGAAATATGCAATCTTTGATTATGCAATTTTGATATTTTTTAGAAGCAAAATAATTTGGTTTTTAGAAGAAAAATATTTTTAAAAAAAATATTTTGGTTTTTAACTGAAAATCAAAAAATCGAACAGAAAATTTTGATTTTTTAACCGAAAAATCAAACCTCAATTCGGTTCGGTTTCGATTTTTATTTTAGCTAATTCAGTTAACCGAAAACCAAAAAAAAACACCAAAACCGAATCGAAAAACCAAATAATCACCCCTAATTCTGAAGACCATCTCAAAAGAAGGCAGGATAGAATGGTGATCATCTAGCTGCCTGTTTAAGTCCACAAACCGAATATAACATATAGATTAATAGGAAGACTTACAAGTAACTAACAAGTAAATTCTATACAAAAAAAAATATATATATATATATAGACAAATGCTACAAATAGGAATTCCACCGCACCTTACCTGTTGGACACATCTTGAACAACACCTGCTTTCCCCTTTGATACAGTGATCCTATTGCCATTATCTTTCACCTTTTTTCACTTGTTGTGCCTTTTTCCTTCTCACATTTTTCGTTTCTTTATGATCCCATACTTTTTACAGCAGATTCTTTCTCCTGGAGGAAGGAAATAGGCAACTTATCTTCATCTTCAGATTCACTAAATTGGAATTTCTTCCTAAGATGTTTGTGGCTGCCCTTACCATTCTCACATTTCTTCTTATCAAATACCTCTTCAACTAATGGTAAAACCAACAAATTTAAAATAGAAAAACATCAGAATAAAATTGCTTAAACATCAACCTCATTGGAAAATAGAGTGCATATCACTTTCAAAAGTAAGTTGATAAAATTGACAAAAAAAGCACTACCCTCCTGGATTCTAATATACAAGGAAAGCAGAATGTCTGGAAGAACATGAGAAACTTGTAAATAAACTACAGGTGACAATAAACTAGTACGAATGAGTAATCTCTGCAATCAAAGTCAAGAGTAGATCATAAATTGAATCAACACAATACACTAAATTGACATTACATGAACATAATCACCCCAACTATCATTCCTTGAATTTATAGCATGAACATTGCTCTGGATAGGAAAAACTATACGGATAGGCCCTAACCATGCAACCTCAAAAACAAAGGAACGACCAAACATAAACTCATAATAAAAAAGCAGCGGTCTCCTGAAATGGGATCTCCTGGGACAAAGAAACCAACGAGTAGCTTTTGACCCAAAATTAGGGCATGGGTGCTGCACCAACTCAGATTAATTTGGTACTGCATATCCATTTTACAATGGTAATTGACACAATTTATTATTAAGATTTGAAATGGATAGACATATCTTTTTAGGTGCACGTAAATTGACACGACAGTTTAATAAGTTTGCTTAGGAGTTTAAACTGTAGCATTAAGGGTGCTATTACGAGATTGGTATAAGCAGGCTTAGGTCTAAATTATAGCCATGCTTTTTCCTTTTCAGATATATTTCAGAAAACTGGAGTTTTCTGTGAACCCCAAGTTACTTTGTTGTTTCCATTGTTTTTTTTTTTTTCAAGTCTGGTAATGTATTGTTGTTTTTCCCCTGAAACTAGGTCACAGAAACTACAGAGCAATACGCATAACAGCCAGAAACTTGCTAGCCTATCTGTACATGCATCCACAATTGAAGACAATTGAAACAATCGTTTTATGAATCATTTAAATCATATGTAGATAGTCTGTCTGAAGTTTAAAAGTATTCATAACATAATACATTTTATTTGTTCCAAGCAATATAGTGGTTTACTCTCACTAAAACAAATGAACTGAACACTCATAGCAGCCCATTGCAACTCAATTCAGAGCAAAACCAAATAGTCCATGACTTTGCACATACCAAAAGTACTCAGCATACAACTGCATTAAGTATTCACAAGCATAACGTGCATAAACAAAAAAGGAAATGGAAAATAGAAGGCTGGGAAGCTACTGAATTGATGCTGAAATTCCATATAAAAAAAATATTTATGCATCATCAACATCATTTTATGTATATATATATAATAAAGGTTACCTTCGCTGCTATAAATAGTGGAAGGTGACATGATCCCTAGATCAACATCATCATTAATAAAACTACCCTCATATTCATCTTCATCGCTGCCATTTGCAGACTGTTCTATCTCTGTATCTGCAATATCTTCTCCATATGATTCTCTAACAATTATAAAATGAGGGAGAAACAAATAAAATGTGATATTCAATAAAATAACAAAAAAAAAGGCTTTAAATAAAATTCAAGTTTATGCCATGAACAGAAGTAGACCAACAAAAGGATAGGTATCATCGTCTAGATGAAATTGTTGACCGCTGCAGCCACCAAGATAGTAACTAGTAAGATGAACACTCGCAGGACTAATAATTGAGAAAACAACTTCAACTGTCTCGTCAAATTCGAAATGCAATTGGGATGTCTCAACCTTTCCAGGAAACAAAGAACAAAGAAAAACAGGACTGGAATTTCCTACATTACACTGAACCACATTGTTCTTCATAGAACTACTAGTCCCTAAAGTTGCCTGAGAAACGATAAACAATCACAACAAATTACCAACCATAGGAAACAAAATCCACTCTCTTCTGCAAAACATGAAAATTCAACTTCAAATTTAAGCCATATAAAGAAAAACCCAGTTCAGAAAACATGAAAAGAAAAGAAAAGAAAGCATATTTTATAGGTACTTGTGAACTGTGGAGCCTTCTTCCATTATTCGACGCATGAATGAATGGCTTTCCGGGTTTCACTTCAACTCCTGCCAAAACCCAAAAAATATATATAAACAAATAAACGCTACCAACATCCATCATTCAGAAATCAAGTAATCTTAAAATTTTTTGGATAGATTAGAAGCCAAAACAATAATAAAAAAGATGAAAGTACTAGAACCGCCAAATAAACAAAAAGAAAACAAAAACAAGAGAAGGTGGACTCCATTGAAAAAGAAAAACTAACCCCAAAAAGCCGTTGCTTAATAGTAATACGAAAATGATGAGATTTTTTTCTTATGAAGCTTCAATGTATTTAATAAAGAAAGCCTAGACCAGAGTAGATGAAGATGATGAAGTTACAAACAGAGAGAAGGAGGAGGATAAAGGTGTTCTAATTTCTTAAACCCTGCGAGGAGAGGAAGAGGCACTTATAAGTTGGTGCCGAGTGGTGACATGGCGATGGCCTAATGACCATGGTAAACTATACTTAGAATCCTTTAGTATATTTTTCTTAGCACTTACATCCCCCTTATTTGTAAATTACAATTTAAACCTTATAATATGCTCTTGTTGCAAAATTTTAAGGGTCAATGTTAGAATGTGATGGAGTGATGAAATTTTTAATTTTTCTAAATAGTAACATTGTTGAGCAAAGAATATATAATGTCAATGCCTTGAATTTTTATGAAATTATGAAACTAACAAAATTAATCAATCATCATTTTTGTTTTAGATTATCTTTTAAAATCTTTTTTTTCTTTTCAATCCATTGACATATATATTTTGTTTTAAAAAAAAACGAGTTCGGTAGGTGTTCTTAATAAATTCTAAATAAAATAAACAATACAAAAAAAAATTGAGTTTAGCGACGAAATATTCCGTCGCTAAACGCTCCAATTTTGTCACTAATTGTGAATAGCAACGGACCATATTCTGTCGTTATTTTGCTGGTCGTTAAATTTTTGGGACGGATTACTCGATCCGTCATTAAATTTAGTGACGGACAATCTATCGTTAATCTTGTCATAAGATTGCTCTTTTTTCCATCGCTAATTTTGAAAATAAATCCGTCGCTAATTTTTAAAAAACGAAATTGTCACCAATCCGTCACTAATTTCAAAAACAATTTTTTCACAATTCTATTGCTTTTGTTGACATTTTTGAAAATTAAATTATTAATATGACATTTAATAATTAATACTTAATAATTAAAAATTATAAGTAATCATGTATATATGAAAAATAAAATAATATTAACAAAATCATTCTAGAATACGTTCCATAAAAAACAACAAAACAAACAAAGTGATTGAATATTATATCACTCATCCCGATTGTCTAATCCCATATCCTTATCCTTATACTACATGGAGGGCTCGATTAGAGGTCGAACCGGAAGGTGAGTGGAAGGAACGATCAAATCATTATGGATGTTATCTTATTTTAACTTTAATAGTTAAACTAATAAAATTACTTATTAATTTATATTCGAAATGACTACACTATGTCAAAAATTATATAATTTGAACCAAATTTAACTAAACTACATCAAAAATTATATAATTTCAAAATTAAGTTTAAACAAACAACTAATCAAATTAACCTAACACTTAAAACAAATAAATATACAATCAATTCACTTAATTAAAATAACAATTGAAGATTAAATAATTAAATTTTAATCTAACAACTAAAAATTAACAAAATTTAAATTTTTAAGGTTTACGTTAACATACAAATTAACCTAACAATTAACATAACAACAAAATAAAACTTAACAAAATTAATCTAACGAGTTATAAAAATAAAATAAAAACTAACAAATTTAAACTACTATACACAACTTAACATAAAAAAAAATTATATAACAAGATAATTAACAATATTCAAACAAATAATAAACTAATAAATAAAAAAATTTAACTAAAAATTTATAACAATTACCTAATTAAAAAAAGCATAAGAGTTAGAGAGAGAAAATTTTACCCAATAGATCAAGAATAGAGAATATAGATCCGATCTAATTTTGAGGGAGAAAGATACCCCTCACTTTCGTTGAACGATTTTGAAAAAGATTTAGTGGTGTGGGGAGCATGGGTGGGCGATTCTATGGGCGGCGACGAAAGAGGAGGTGTGGTGAAGGTGAGGGAAGCAAATAAAGAAGAAGAAGAAAAGAGTATATATAAAGGCAAAATAGCAATAGACCTAATTTCGTCGTTGATTAGCGACGGATTACAAGTCCGTAGCTAATTTGAAGGGAAATTTCCCCTAAATTCTCAAAGTTTAGTAACGAAATTGGCATCGTCGCTACTCGATCGAGATTTTGGAGGAAAATTTCCTCCTAAAATCTCAACCCTTAGCGAGGTCCCGAAGTCTGTCGCTAATTTTAGCGACGGATTCCAAAATCCATCCCTAATTTTGAACCATTTTGGGAGAATTTTCCCCCCAAAAAGCATAAATTTTAGGCCATTTTGGTGGAATTCCCCCCAAAAAGCACAAATTAGCGACGGACTTGATGTTCGTCGCTAATTAGTGACGGACTTGAAGTCCATCACTAATTTTAGGCTAATTTTGAGCCATTTTGGGGGGAATTTTTCCCAAAAAAAGGTACAAATTAGCGACGGATTTGATGTCTATCGCTAATTAGAGACAAACTTGAAGTTTGTCGCTAATTTTAGCGAAAGATTCCAAAATTCGTCACTAATTTTAGGCCATTTTGGAGGATTTTCCCCCCCAAAAGATACAAATTTAAAATCTGTCGCTAACTTTGAGCCATTTTGGGGGAATTTCCCCCAAAAAAGACACAAATTAGGGACGGACTTGATGTCCGTCACTAATTAGCGACAGATTTGAAGTCCGTCACTAATTTTTCCATTTAGAGACCACAAAGCCATCACTAATCCGTCATTAATTTTGACGTTTTTTTTCTCACCTTATTTAGCGATGGATTTTTTGCCGTCGCTAATTATCTCTCGTTAGTCCATCACTAATCCATCGCAAAACATAACCTTTTATAGTTCATCTCTAATTCGTCGCTAATTTATCGCTAAATAGCAATTGATTGAAATCCGTTGCTATTTGGTATTTTTTAGTAGTGAAATTCTTAAGCATGCAATCAACTAAGTTTAAAATATCTATTAGTTGTTTTCATCAAAATTAATGTCGTCAAGTCTTGATCATTGTACAATGTTGTTTTAATTGATAATTATAAAGTTAAATAACCGAAATTGGGTTCCATCTAAAAAACTTAAGTCTTATGATAGGTAATTATTTCTCAACTTTGTATATAACTCATTTTTATTTAACTATTCAATGTAAAATATATGTTATAACATTCTTTCTCGGTTGTAACGCATCTTTTTTGGATCAATCAATTGACAATCTTTTTGAAGCTCGATACTATATAGAGTTAAATAGTTAACTTAGATCTATCCAAAATATTTAAACTTTATATATAATGGGTGACCTTTTCTCAACTTTATTTGTTACTCTTTTTTAAAAAAAAACATTCAATATGTGATATGTTTTCTAACAATAATTAATTTAAGAAATAAGAATAGTAAAGGGGTGACATTTGAGTCAATAAATTTTAATTTGGGAACTTATTTAAATTCTTAGATGATAGGCTTATTCAATTACTTTCTTTTTTTGTTCTGAAAAAGTTATATATATGCTTAGAATCCTCTAGCATAGTTTTCTTAACACTTACATCTCTCATTATTTGTAAATTATAATTGACACCTTATAATATGTTCTTGTTGCAAAATTTTAAAGGTCATTGTTAGAGTGTGATGGAGTGATGAAATTTTTATTTTTTCTAAATATTAACATTGTTGAACACATATTGTCAATGCTTTGAATTTTTATGAAAATTATGAAACGAACAAAATTAATCAATCATCATTTTTGTTCTAGATTATCTTTAAAAATATCTTCTTTCATTTCAATCCATTGACGTACATATTTTATTAAAAAAAAAAAAGGACTAGGTGTTCTTGTTAAATTTTAAATAAAATAAAATTTTAAACATGTAGTCAACTAAGTTTAAAATATCTATTAGTTGTGATATAAATAGAAATTATCTTTTCGTTTTTTCACAAATTTACTAGTTTTATTTTAACTCAATTTATGAAAAAATTAATCAAAGTCAATATTTTTAGTATGATATTCCATGCAATAAAAAAATCTCGATTTAAAGAAAAAATGACAAAAAAAAAAATTGATGAATATTTATAGAAAGACGTGATTGAGAATCATGTGAAACGTTTCGAATCAAATTGACAAAATTCAAAGATTAGGGATTTGATTGAAAATAGATATATAGGCTTGGGACTCCAAAAAAAAAATCCAAAGACAAATTAAAACAAGAGACGTGTTTTCTTTCTCGCACGTGCTGGTGGGTGGTTGCCGCTTCGCCTTAGAAAGAACAAAAAAACGAAAGAAAGACGGATCTAATTGCAGGGCACTGAAGAAAGATGATAATGGCGATGATGATATTATTTTGGGCTAAAACATCTCATTCTTCTTCTTCAGCCTCAGCTTTTATTAAGTTTGGTCTTAAAAAACAAATAGGTATTTCTACTTTCAAGAGCAACAAGGTATGGTTTAAGAACATCGATCATGCTTTAACTTTCTTCAATGACATGCTTATTGGGAAGCCTCTGCCTTCTATTGTCGATTTTAATAAATTACTATCATCAGTTGTTAGAATGGGACATGATCAGTGTGATGAAGCTAAGACAATAAGACATTATGAGACTGTCGTTTCTTTATCCAGGCGAATCGAACTTGCTGGAATCACTCATGATGTTTCTAAACATCTTGATTAATATGTACCCTCTGCCATTTACATTTTGTGGATTATGGGTTGTCTGTTTTGGGCAAAATCCTTAAGCTTGGTTTGAAGCCTAATATTGTAACATTTAATACCTTATTGAATGGGTGTTGTAAGGAGGGAGAAGTGGATCAAGCTCTGATGTTGTATGATGATATGCTGCTGCGAGGGTATCTGCCTAATGTAATGTGTACGCTTATAACGTGATAATCAACTGTCTTTGTAAAACTGGGGAAATCGATGAGGCTCTTGAATTTCTCAAAGAAATGGAAAACAAAGTGGGTTGTGTGCCAGATGATGTTACTTACAATTCACTGATTGATGGATATTGCTTGAAAGGGCGAATGGATGATGCTAGAAACATATTTGATTTAATGGTGAGTAAGGATGGTGTGCCGAATGTTTATAACTACAGTACTTTGATCCATGGATATTGTAAGATCAACATGATAGATAAGGCAATGCAACTTCTTGATGAACTGTTGATAGAAGACTTGGTTCCTAGCATAGTTACTTATACCATTTTGGGAGGCCTTGGGTTGCCCAACAGCTTTTCAAATACGCAGTTGCATGTGGAGACACTCCAAATATAGTAACATGCTCAACTTTGATTGAAGGGCTCTGCCAACTGGGGAATCTTGACGAGGCATAGGCATTATTTCAAAAGATGCAAAGGGGTGGTTTGAAGCCTGACTTGGTGATCTACACCATCCTTATTGATGGTATGTGCAACTGCGGGGGGCTTAAAGATGCAAAGGAACTGTTTTCTAGACTAATTGAGGTAGACATGGAGCCTAATGTTTACACATAGACTGCATTAATATATGGATATTGCAAGGAAAGGTTGCAGACTGAAGCACACAAGCTTTTTAGAAAAATGGAAGAGGATGGATGTGCACCCAACAAGTGCACCTATAATGTCATTATCAATGGATTTCTCTAACACAAGGATCCATCAATGGCAAGGCTCGGAACCTTACTGAAAAAAAAAGAAGAAAAAAGATGTGCCTGTAAACAATGAATGTTGGAACTTAAAAAGATGTGCTTTTAAAAAAATCACTAGGCTTAAAGTTGACGTAATCTTTGAATATTTGATGCTTATTTCATTATTTCAACTTAAATTAGATTGTAACATTGAACGCATTTCCACCATTAGCACTCATATCATTTTTGGATTGTGCTATATAGAGTTTCACTTGGGTCATCTTTTGTGAACTTGTTGATACTTTTGCTTGAAACAAACAAAATATTCCTGCTAAATTTATGTAAACCAAAGAAAGTGCATGGCTGTGCGAGTGAAAATAAATAAACACAAAATTTGTGCCCTGGTTAAATTTTCTTTGTTATGATGTCTGCTGAAATATGATATGTTGAGGATTTACTGCGTAGTGTAATTTGTAGCATAGTTGCTCTAATCTCTTACAAATTAAGAGTATTCTGTCCCTACATCATTCCGTTGATCTTGATGAGATAATAAGTGATGTCTTTTCAGCAGTTCAAAACTATATAATCATTTCTTATTTTTGGCATATAGTTGGAGTAATTAAACAATTTTTTCATTCAAATGCCTTCATGAGGTAGTCTTAGGCTCTTAGCTCCTGGAAGTAGTTAAACATTATGTCCAGTTGCTTCTCTTCTTACCATTGTACAACTAGTACGGTGCCCTGACAGAAATATAGCAATGACTTAGTGTGTGCCATATGCAAATAGGTTCATCGAATTAAAAAAGTTTCCATCCATTTTATTAGATAGTCTGTTTATCTTGAAACCAAGGAATGCTGATGCGTAAAGCTTTAGTCAGTTTGTTTAGCTATTGGCTTAGATGGTGATCGGAACAAGTAATTTATTCATTTGTTTATGTTTCTTTACCTTCTTTGTTAAATTTTGTTGCTCAAATTTTCCAAATATCAAAGAGAAGATAGGGGATTGATCAACTATCACCAGGTATCTTTACATGATTTTAAGAGAGGAAGCATTCTTAATAAGTTTCTGAGACTCCATGATTTGTACATAACAATATGCTTCCAAGTGTGCAGGTCTATTAATTTTAGCGTCTTGTTTTTATGGTTATCATTTTTGTTATTTTCAATGTTTTGTTTCCTTAATTCATAAAATTGTATAACAAGTGAAGAGCGTTTGGAGGGTGAGTTCTCTACAATTAGGAACTGTCTTGTCTTCTAGATGTTCCACTACTTAACCAGGTTAACTGTGGCTGACTTTGCAAACTTCATTTTCTCAGTCTATGATTGTTTATTTACCAACCTGTACATGAAACATATGTCTGGTCTGAACTTCTTCACGTGCTTGTAAACGTGTTCTTTTTCAAGTCCGAGAGTTTTATTTTGCTGGTTTGCTTTTCTTTCACTAAGTTATGGTAGGAAGAAGGAACAATGTCGGTATTCATTAAAATGATATCTATTTGCTTTAGATGTTGAAGCTTTTCATTTCCTAACTTTAACCATGCTACGTCAATTTCATTCTATGAAACTTATTCTAGCTCACGTTGTTAGCTATATTATCGATGAGATTGCTTGTGTAACCATGCTTGTCCTATTTCATTTTCTTGAACTTGTGCTAGTTCCAATTGGTAGCTGGTAGCTATATGATTGATGAGGTTGCTTGCCTGGTTTCTGGACTAGTATTTGAAAAGTTCTGTTGATCTTTTTGTTATCACAGTAATTTCGGGGTGCTGGAAAGTATATCAGTTAACTTCTCAGAACTACTTTTAATGAAAGTCACCTGTCATGCACTAACAGGATCTTGCATCTATAAGCATATGCACTAACAGAGTAGAGACGAATGACATTATCTATGAAGCTACTTACAGTTTGGTGCTGACTTAGAATCTTAAACTTTCATATAGATTGCTAAAAAATAAGCCTATGGTAGATTGGGCACTTATCCAATGTGTGAGCTAATTTACATATTGAAATCAGATAGTACTTCACTCTGAAGATTATTAACTAACATTCAACTCCAAAATCAAGTAAATGGGAAGTATAAACCAAAAATTATCACACAATCCACAAAGTAGACCATTATCAAAATCACCATTGTACAGATCCATCCAAAAGAAAATAACTAGTACATCAACCTCTTTATTAAAATAAATAAACAAGAAAAAAATGTACATCAACCTAGGAGCACACCTTATTACACTTATTATCAAAAAGAGCGCAGACAAAAAGAACAGACAGTGTAATTTATGGTAACAAATAGTTCCAAAATTCTATCATAGATAAACTATGGAAGTTCTCAAAGGAATGTACAATGAAATCAAAGAGCAAGAACCTGGATGCTGATATCCATCCCTCCTGCATACACTTGAGAAGTTACAGCCCAACATGCTATTCTCAATGGCAGAAGATCCAAATCATAAGCTCCTTGCTTACTCCAGCATTAGTCTAATCGAATCAGTGTTGTGACCATTGAATCTGCTTAATATCAATCCCTTCCTTCACCATCTCATAAAGCGGGCTCATTTCCCTTAACTTCTCAACTTGATGCACCGTGAGCTCAATTGCCCTGTCAATCTCTTCCTCTGTAGTAAACCTCCCAATTCCGAACCTGATCGAGGTGTGTGCCATGTCCTCATCCACCCCTAATGCCCTCAACACATACGAAGGCTCCAAACTAGCACTCGTACAAGCACTCCCACTCGACACAGCCACATCCTTCAACCCCATCAACAAACTCTCTCCTTCAACATATGCAAACGAAAGATTCAAATTCCCAGCATACCTCCTCTCAACACTCCCATTCACCACAACACCATCAAGCTTAGCCCTAACTCCATTCAACAACCTCTCTTGCAAGGTCCTAATCCTCTTCTCGTCATATTCCATCTCCTTTTTCGCCAATTCACACGCTGCCCCCATCCCCACAGCCAATGGAGTAGGCACCGTCCCACTCCTTATCCCTCTCTCTTGTCCACCCCCATTCATTTGCGGCTCCACCCTGATCCTCGGCCGCCTGCGCATATACAAAGCACCAACCCCTTTCGGTCCATAAATCTTATGCCCACTCAAAGACATCAAACTCACATTCCACTTGTCTACATCAATCGGAATCTTCCCTAAAGCTTGCGCTGCATCCGTATGAAATGGAACATTCAACTCCTTACAAATTTTCCCAATCTCCTCCATAGGCTGAATCACACCAATCTCATTATTCACCGCCATAACAGAAACAAGCCCAGTATCCGGCCGAATTGACCCCTTCAACTTCTCCAAATCAACAATCCCATCATTCCCAACCGGCAAATAAGTAACCTCAAAACCCTCTTGCTGAAGATGCCGGCAAGAATCCAAAACACACTTATGCTCCGTCTGAGTAGTAACAACATGTCGTTTCTTTTCCTTATAAAACTTCATAACTCCTTTAACTGAAATATTATTAGACTCCGTCGCTCCTGAAGTAAAGACGATTTCTTTCGGCGACGCCCCGATTAAATCGGCGACCTGAGAGCGGGCAGTTTCGACGGCTTGATCGGATTCCCAGCCGTAGAGGTGAGTCCGTGAGTGAGGGTTGCCGTAGCGAGCGATATAGTAAGGGAGCATCGCGTCGAGAATCCTAGGGTCTACTGGCGATGTTGCTTGCATGTCGAGGTAGAGAGGACGAGCTGAGATTTTCACGCCTTTTACTGTCATGGAATCTTCGGGTTCTGGTGCCGATGCTATTGCTGCCGCGGTTGACAGGTGGCGGAAGGAGGAGGTGGTGGTGGTGGTGCTTCTTAGGGTTTTGCGGAGGGTGGAAGCTAGAAGCTTCGAGGTGGCCATTGTTGATTTTGGATAATTTTTGTGCTCCCTGTTTTTTCTGTTTCCTTTTCAGTGTTCGTGCCGGTTCTTAGGGGCAATGATATTTATCAAGGCAAACTACATCTTATTCCTAGCCCCTTAACTTTTGCATATTTCAATTAGATCCTCATCTAATAAATAGCAAAAGAAATTTTACAACTTTACACCCCTGTTTGAGCAATGTTATTGAAGGGATAAAAAAACAATTGCAGTCGCTCTAGTTTGGCTTTTTGATCAAATTTATCCTTCTACTACGAAAATGGGAGTTATGTACCTTAAACTACCATTAACTGATTACTCGTGGAACGATCAATAATGATAAGGGACTAATTAGTTAATTTTTTAAACTAAAGAGACTATTTAATTTGTTTTCCGAGATTAGAGGGACTAATTTAAAATTTTACTCAGCGATGTCCCAAAATGGTTGATTTCTTGCTATATACCATTAGGCCATGACAAGGCTTCAGGGATGCATTTGCACAAACTAATTGCTTGATATACAATAGGCAATTATAATAACATTTACAAATAGTTTTTTGCCTTGGGGCCTCTGCACTTTACGAGAGCAAAAATGGCAATTATGGCTCTCAGAAAACAAAAAAAGAAAAACATCCAAAAACATGCCAACCCCTACGATTTTGATTTGAGCTAAAAAATGGGTAGGCATTCACAAGTGCAGCCACCGGTTCCCTCCTGACTTCCTAACCGGTCAAAATTCATGTTTCACTTGCCCCAGACACTTTTCCTATGGAGTTAGAAATAGATGGCGATGAGAAGCAAAGTGAATGAATTAGAGAGGTGTCCTAGACCATAAATAGATATTTGAGATCTTCCACCGTAAGACGAGTCGCTGAACCCCCACTTTGATCTTCGCCAAATGCAGATGCAACCATTTTTCTCTTTTCATCCTGCAAAATGTGGTTAGCAGCAAAGAAAATCATCTTAGAAGACCATGGTCAAAATTCTGAATATAAGAAGGCAGATAAATGCACATACAAGCAAGGACCCCAATTCACGGGAAAAAAAGCATTAGATTGCACTTGAAGATTACAAGTAATATGGTCATTGTCATTTACAAGAATCAGATTAAACAGTAATCCAAATCTGTAAGGCAGAAATAATACCTGAAGAGCTAATATTCTATCTTCAACGGTGTCTTTTACGGTAAGTCGTGTTACTGTAACAGGACGAGTCTGTCCAATCCTATGGGCTCGATCGATAGCCTGATCCTCAGTGGTTGGATTCCACCAAAGATCCAGAAGGATGACATGGCATGCAGCCACCATATTCAAACCCAGGTTTCCTGCCTTCAGGGACATTAGCATCACAGTTACCTGCAATTAATTTCAATCATTCAAATGTTGAAGACAATGCCAAGACAATAAACTGAATCATTCAGACGCCGAATGTAATGCAAAAATTAAGGCATCAGGAATAATCATCATGCGCAATGTCATCAAAATAATAAACTTGAATCATTCAGATGCCGAATGCAATGCCAAAATTATGGCATCATGACTAATCATCGCGCACAATGTCATCAATAAGATATGTTTAGTATTGCATGATTCAGCTGGCTATTACATTGTATATGACACAGTACCCTTTATGTTTGCCAGCTAAAGGTCTTGATAATTAACAGATCTCCCATCGAGAATAAATGAAGAAAACACCTTCAGGAATTAAGATTATTTTAAGAATTCATGAGGTAGGGGCCAAACCTCGGGATCAGTGTTGAAATCTTTAACACCCCTGTCTCTTGAACTTAGAGTCATTGTACCATCAAGCCTCCTATACTGGATACAATGCTGATTCAATGAAAACTCGACCAAATCCAACATGCTAGTCCACTGTGAGAAAACAATTGCTTTTATTGGTCCTTCAGTTGACAATTTTGGATATGCCATTGATGTTTCACTGCATCCTGTAGAACCATTAAACCCTGAAATTGGACTCCCTGCCTTACAATGTGACTGAATGACCTCAAGAACAGCTTTGATTTTGGAGGAACAATACTCATGCTGAAGGACTATTGACTTATCATCAAATTTGGATTGTGAGGAACTAGCGTCAAAGTTGTCAGAGATTCTTCTTCTAAGAGTGGCTTCAGAGAAAACAACATCAGAACCAAGTTGTTCTTTACAGTCAGAAGCGGGGCATGTATTATCATCTCCTGTCAAGTATTCTGATACACACTGATGGCAGAAAACATGACCACATATGGTAACAACAGAGTCCTCAGGTGGATCCTGCAAGAGCATCATACAATAGAAAAATTAGACAAGTCTGATGCGTGAGATGGTACAGTATTTGTTTTCACTGGTCAGATATTGTCAATTAATTTAAAGCAGGTACATACTCCAAAAAGAGACTCCTCTAACATGGTATAGACAAAGATGGAATCACTAGGTGCTGACAAAGGAATAATCACTAAGTGGCATGGTACAGGCATTTCCAGAAAAGAACTAGACACTCCACTAAATGATTGGCAAAGTACATTAGCAGCAAGGTATTATGGTTCTCATTGATGAAAGTTTGAGTTTTGACAGATACTAGCAGGATTAAGATAGTAAAAAACAAACAATATCTAGGAGCAATTGAAACTGGTCTACCAGCACAGGCATGAATTGGGACAACTTCAACGAACTTATTAAGCATGGTCAGCAAATAATTAAAGAGACCAATGTGAATGCAATGAGCAATAACTTTTTCAGTTGCTTAAGCCAAATGAAAGTCAAATGCGTGAAGGATCCTGGCCCATGGATTAAAGAACCTCATACTACCGACAGATTGGCTAAGCATTTCCTAGTAATTCAAAGCATCAAACAGACTATTATTGCAGGCAGATGCTCTGAACTTGATCCATAAAAAACGCAGGCTCCTCGGAAGCTAGCCTAAACTGGAACTGGAAATAATTTGAACTTTCAGCCAGTATCATAGCAACTTAAACCTCTCATAAGTGATCTATAAACACAAGTACCCTTAGTTGTGTGCTTACATGGCAACATATCTCCAGAGAGAAATTTATTGCCTCACCGGACGTTGAAGATGTATGCACTATTTTCACTGCAAGACTTAGAAGATCTCACATGTATAATGTCCATCAACAAATGCAATGTGAACAATGCAACAACAGACAAGGGACAAGAAGGAGGGCGGAAAGGGACACAATAGAGATGATATTCAACACCAGTTGTTCTATGGAAGCAGCAAAGAGAAAACCCAACAAGATCTTACAATGGGCATTGAATAAAGGGTAAAACGGTATGGATTTTTAAGATGACTCACATTGCATACACGGCAGAGGGCAGAGGGCAAGCGATTCAATAGATCCGCCACCATCTCCCAAGGAAGTTGATTTGCCATTTCAATGGAATCTTTTTCAACAGATTCAGAATTAAAACCTTTAACAAGAAGTGGATGGTCACAAGCCTGGCGAAGTCGCAAAAGCATCAAAAGTATATTTGCATAATTTTGGTTCACTGTGCCAGCAGCAGCATAAGCCTGAAAGAAAGAAACCTATAATGTCAAGATACATGATAATTCAAAATGCTCATTATTTGATAAAGCAGGAATCAATCTCCAAAATACGAGAAAAGAATCTTCTGTGAAAGTGGACGGAACTTGATTATTTATTACCATGTTTTAAAACCCAGTACCACCAGGCAATGACTGTCAGTCTAGCAGCAAACATGCCTTCAGGAGTGGAGCATCATGATAAGTTTTATCGCACAAACAGGAGGGAACATTGTAGAAATGGTGCTTAATTTCTAAGTCATAATTATCTATGTCCATGAACCCCAAAATAAAGACAGCCCTGCCTTGAGTTTTCTTTATTTAGTTTGCAAGAATCAATGATTAATATGCAAATTGTGATTTCGAAGTAGAGAAATATACAAATAAAAGAAATCTAATGCAACATGCTTTAGCAGAATTTTGCATGCATGCTTCTAATTTTGGAGACTTCAACAACAATTCTAACAGCCATATATGAAGTAGAAGGATTGATATGAGTGGTTCTTCGAGTCTGACATACAGAGATGATCATAATACCAGAAGGACCATAGCAAATGAAATGTGGTATTACAATGGTGATGTAGGAAATTTAGGCATTTGAAGATTATGACACTATAAAATATGGTGGGAAAGAAAGTATTTGGCAACTATATTAAACCAATAGATATTTGCTGCATTAAGGTTCTACTTTCCTCAATCAAAACAGCATATTTAATTCCCTTCCAGTAGTAGCTTTCCCTGTCCTTTTCTAGGTTCACTGGACTCAACTTATTTTCTGATGGCATTGCAATTACAATTTAGATAGACATACGGTTATTACTTAATCAAGTATTTCTTTATATCCCACATGCATGATACATCCCAGTAACAAAAAAGAAAAAAGAAACATAATAGAGCTGATTTCAACAGCATATTAGTTGGTTAATCAAAACACTAGCTAATTCAGAAGGGAAATAAAATACCATATACAATTTGCCTTGACAAATTAACTATATGGAATAACAAGCACCTTGAATTTAGAACGAGAATCTGCTTCTAGCCGAGTATAGAAAGCCCGCTCCTCATTTGAGAAGTCTACCTTCGACAAGCAGATTGATTTTGGTGGCAGTTTAATTATAGGCTGCCCATCAATCAATGTTGCTATATCACGTAAACTCATGACAATTAGCAACAAATATTATGTCAGAAGCAATGTTTGCATACGAAAATCGCATCTCTGTTATGTAACAACATTAAAGCAATAAAGCATCTGAACCACAGTATCAAAGGATTTCACATAAAAAAGCCAAGGTTGAATAAATCAACATGTGTTTGTCAAGATAAAATCTAAATAAAGCTGGAAAAATTATAATAGCAAATATTTAATATCCTTGTGAAAGAAATGGTGCACGAAATCCATGTGCTTAATTATCTACTAAACCTATATAAATATGAAATTCAAATCAGGGCCTTTAAGCAACCCATAAACCCTTCCCATTCATCCTGCCATGTATTACCATCTTTATCTCACTTATATTTGATGAATAAAGATGCTGTCATAAAATATGTGTAGGATAAACTAAAGAGCATGATTATCCTCCAAAAAGGAAATTGTAAGAGAGAAACCAACTGCACAAATCTCATGTAGATGTGCTTGAAATTCAAAAAAGCATGATTTTTTGAGGTAAACAACCTCCCATTCTACACTGATCCAAAGAAAGAAAGCACTCACCTTTTGTACGACGCAGCATTATAGCCCTTAGAACTGCCTGCAGCTTCTTGTAACCATGGAGTGAGTTTCTGGATATAGGAACTTTTATGGTATTGTAAAATGATTTGTAAACAGCATAAGGGTCATATCTGAGGAATCTGAAGTAGCTATATAGATCATCAATTGCATTTTGTATTGGTGTTCCAGATAAGCACCACCTTCTTTTGGCACGAAGGCTGCAGCAGGCCCGAGCCACTTGAGTTCGGTGATTTTTTATCGTTTGAGCTTCATCTAGTATCACCCTAAACCAACCCACTCTAGCAAGTGGACCATAGTCACAATCAATAGAGGAACTATCCATTCCCTTTCTGCCTCTTTTCTTACTCACTTTAGAAGTATTCTTCCTCTTCTTATTATTTGAAAATTCCGAAGATAATCCATACTTTTCCCCACTTTTATCATCAGCCTCATCCTCATCGACTAAAGGCTGTTTTGGAACTTCATTAGTTACAATTGCATATGTAGTCAAAACCACATCATGCGTAGCCAATGCATCAGGACTCCTTGTACGATTGCCACCATGATAGACCAGGACAGAGAGTTTGGCTCCATCAGCAACTTTATCATCCAGCTCCCTGGCCCATTGTCGAAGAACACTTGCCGGACACACCACCAGTGTACCTGCCGCTGGTCTCCGTCTACTGATTGCCTTTGTAGAAGAACCAACTTCTGAAGTAGATTTAATATCAGCTGAGTCTCCAGTCTGCTTGTCTTTATCCAAGACAGGAGTTCCATTATCATCATCGTCATCCAAATTCAATGCTTCAGTTTTGTGATTGCGCTGGTCTTCAGACTTTGATTTTGTCTCCAAATACTTTTGCATTTGTACAAGGGCAATCATTGAGATTGTTTTACCAAGGCCCTGGAATGTGAGATTATAATGAACGTCGGCAGAAATGCAGATCAAAACCATAAAAGAAGAAATCATGAACGAACACCGATAAGAATCAACTGGACTTCTCTAAATGAGTAACCTGATCATCAGCTAAAATTCCACCTAAACAATGCAAACTTCTTGTTTCCTTCTGAAGCATCCATGCCAAAGCAATTTTCTGTAAAATCAAATAACTTCAATGAAAAATGCAAAACACAACTAACCAACTTGTAGGTTATCAATAAAATGGTAAAACCTGGTGTCTGAGAAGAGGCACAGACATAAGACCATCAGGTAGATTAGCTTCAACTTTGGGTTGGTTAAGATCCTGCAAGAATAGATGTCCGTCCTATTTTTAATTTTTCAAGAATTTCAAACATTAACTTTTCTACAGGCAACTTGAAATACTACGAAAAGCACCAGCATAGTTTTGTTGGTTGTTCTCAAAAGTTTTGAGACAACAAGTAATATCAGCAGCAGCAACAGAAATAAGCCTGCAAATCATGGTTGATGGTACTCACCTAGAACTGTACATACCAACTAAAGCATGCAAATCAAAGCTTGAGTACAGCTGTACTTGTTGTTGGTCCCCAAAGTGGAAAACATAGGAAATTAAAACTGATAAGAACTGAATATCACTTCCTGAATACAGCAATTCTGGGCTCTAAGGTAGACCAAGTTACTAAAAACTCCACATTTGTTTTCTTTAAAAATGCTCTCACTAGCCAAACAAAATGTTACACAAACTACAGATTGTTTTGGCAAACCAGGCTTCAATAGTTTTTCTTGGGTCCAAATAATTCTGGACAGAAAAGTACCTTTTTTTTTCTGTACCAAGTAATCATGTAATAATACCATTACGAAAACGCTAAATTTCAAATGACATAAAAACTAAAATTAACATGGACACGTTACAGTTCCAAAAAATAATAAAAGAAGTAATAGATAGCTTTCTGAAATATGAACATATGGTCATATGCATTATTAAATAAAGTAAAATGAGGTACAAATCAAAAACATGTCAAAATTGTCTGGGTTTGCTTCATGAGTTATACTTCTGAACAAGTTCAAGCTCTTAGCGAACAAAACTTGAAAGGTTTTTTGCAATTAATATCAAGGCTGAGGTGTACTCAGGCTCGGCTTACATCTAAAACAACTTGCTGCTTGGCTGAGCTCAACTCTATTACAGCCCTACCAACACTTGAAAATAAATGCTAGTTATAATATGAAGAAAAAACAATAATAGAAAAGCAGTTGCTATGAAATCAAAATTGTAACTCATAACTGGCAAAGAGGAAACCCAAATCCTGTTGTACAATATAAGCAATTAAAATAATAAGGTAAAATTAACTCCAGACATACCTCCAGTGCTGCTTGATAAACCAGTCTCTCATCAGTTCCAGCAATGTTTTCTTCCCCAACCATGGAGTGGTACACAGGTTCACTTGGACCAGGAAATTGTGCAGAAGATTTTCCATGCATAAAAGATGGAGGTAGGACCCTGCTTCCGTTATTTTCATACATCATAATATCATCATTATTGCGCTTGCTGTAAATGTCTCTTGCATAACCCCTGCTACTAGTTACACTTGGTCCTGCAAGATGATAAGCATTTCCATAGATATCACGAGACCCACTGCTACTGGCATTCTCTATTATGTTGTTTGATTTATTACTAGGTTCAGATGGCTGAAGAGATGACGGAAGGGTCCTCTTTAAAGCCTGTTGGGATGAAAGCTTCTCATAATCTGCACCAGAAACATTGGCAATTCGAGAATTAACTGAGCGAGGCTGACCCGCATTCCCACTCCCTATAAAATGCCGAGTACCATCTCCTCGAGCAACAGGCCAACTTGTGTCTCTAATGTTGGCACCATTGCTAGGTTGACCGTGAATCTTCATCCATGAAAAGTCATTTACATTTGATGAACTCCCATTTGAAGCATATGCTCTTTTGGGAGAGGGAACTTTTTGTGTCTGCCCACCATAACCTGCAAATTTAGTTAATTGTCACCAAGATTAGCAATACATTCAACTTTCAATTCTCAACCTGGTGAGATCTGCCATTTATGTCTTCACATAGTGGAAACAGAATGTATCGATGAGATTGGAGTTTGAGGTTTAGATAAATAGCCAATGAAAAGAAGAAGTGGCAAAGTCCTTGGTATAGAAAACTCAATCTAACCTGTGTGTCTTGAGTTTGTGGCATCTGCAGTTGCCCAATGCGGAAGCGTCCTGGTATTAGCAGAGTCCCTTAGTGGCGATATTTCATCCTCATTGTCAGTAAAATTGAAATCGCTATCAGATGAACTGATTTCTATAGGACTTATTGCAGCCATCGAGCTATGAGTATCCCTTTCGTCGGCCAGATTTGCAAAATAATTCCTGAAAGGGTAGCCAACCTGCACTTGCACCAAATCAGTATCAAATGGTGCAGCAAATAAACCACAAAACCGATCAGACACAACATATCAACCAACCGGGTTTGTGCAATATCTTGAAATTAAGCTGAAAATCCAGTCACTTATCAAGCGAGACTTCTGAGCTGAACCAATGAAATCATGAACATGATCACATGGTCAAGCATCTAAATAGAAAAGCCATTGCCTACAAATAGCAGACAGATAAGAGTTAAAAACAAAAACTCCACTTCAGTGTGACAATTAATGATTTTAAAAAGAAAAAAGATTGAATATCAACACAATAAAAAACAATGAATCAGCATTTTCATTTGAAATCCATCCAAACCACACTCGAAAACGAAAAATGTGGTAACAGGTATTGCCACTCAAAAGTGGCGAATTCCAAAAAGAAACTATAACAATCACAACAATATCGCAAAAGCAATAGAATATATGATTTAAACAATCGCTAATAGTTTGAATTACTTTGTTCAAAATGCAACAAAAAGAATTCATTTTAAACTTTCCTGGAACATAATGGCATTCCAATTTTCCATCTCAAGTGTACTTGTTAAGAACAGTTGGATGCGTTGAAATGGGCTATCTTTAAATTCATTTCCTTATTAGAGAAATGAGCAAATCATTACACAAGTAAACATATAAGCAGAATATGAACACTAAAAAGCGTGACACAAAAGTAGAGACTGCCAAAGAAACAAAATAACAATAACTAATAGCAAAGTTCACAACTTTATCAAAATTTAGACTTGAAAAGCAGAAATTGAGAGAGTAACACCCTACCTGAGATTGTGAAAGGAGCAATCATCACTGTAGCTCACCCAATACAAAATTAGGGTTTTGCAGTGACAAAAGCAAATGTGAATTCACAAATACACATGTGTGTGTTGGGGAGAAAGAGAAACAGACCCAAAATGCAATTGTTGACAAGTGATAACGGAGGAGAGAACAGATGCTGTCGTTTTATGAGTTAAGACTTCTGTTCTGTCTCACCTAGGAGAGAGAGAGATACTGTCGTTTTAAGAGTTATGTCTTGCTTTGCTGCAAATCACAGTGATTTACAAAATCAAAACTCCAGAGATTTTGAATCCCTACCTAGGAGAACCTACCTCTTCTTTTTTTCAAACAAATTATAAATTAGTCCTTTATTTTTGAACCAGCGAATCAATGAGTCTTTTCTTTTGAAAATTAATTATTTAGTCCTTAACTAGTGTTCACCACACTCAATTTAGTATTATTTTATTTCAAAACTTGTTTTCTATTCTTATCTATATCTATAAAATATTCATTTATTTAAAAAAATAAAACATAAAAATGAATAAAAAATTAAATAATTAGTTTTTGAAATAGAAGAGACTAATTAAGTCTTTTCTAAGACATAGAGGGATTAATTTATAGTTTACGCCCCTTTTTCAGACCACGTTGATTCGGTAAGTACCACTGTTAACTTCAACGTAATAAATACTTTCAGTTTTAGATACCAAAATTTCATGACTTTGCTTCGAACTTCGAAATTTCAACTCAAAATCACAACCAGCTATTTCAACTTCATGGAAAATATTTTATTTTATTTATTTACTAAATATAGACAATATTAAATTCCAATAAAAGATTAAAAATGATTTTAATCCGGCTCTTTTTTTCTTTTTTCTTTTTTTGGTTATTCGCACTCCATAATTTTTCTGAAGTAGCTATATTAACCCTTTTTTTTATTAATTCTTATAACCGTACATCAAATCTGACCTCGTTGATTAAGTTTTAATTCTTTTATATGATTAAAATAATATGGTTTATGAAATTTTACTATCATTTTATTATTGCTAATTGTTTTAATACAAAAGGTATTTGTATAATTAACATCTTTATTTAACCTATTAACTATTTTTATCTTACTCAAAATTAATTTCATTAAAAACAACAAACAAAAGGGTCATTATTATAATATCAAGAAATTTAAATATATATATATAAAAAAAACTTTAAAAAAGATTATTTTTGTCATTCTACAAAACAAACTATGGAGTCTAAATAACAATAAAAAGATGGAAATATCAAAACTCAAGGTTAAATTGCAAATGAAAATTATAACCCATATATTCTTATAAAAACTATGACAATCAATGCGCTATCAATAAAATATTACATCTATTTCTATACTTATTAACAAACAAACCCTAGCATCAAACAGATTTAGTTTAACAAATTTGTATTCGAATAGCTGGTTTAATAAAACAAAATTCGAATCTAAATGATTTTAAAATTCTTTCATGATTATAAATATAAGAAATAACTATCCTTTATTATAGAAACCAAAGCAATAATGAGCAAAATTGCAGAATACAATAAAAACACACCAACGAACCCTAAAAAGATTAAGAAAGCTATAAAAACTTGACACCTCGTGAAAGAAAAATAACAATGTTTAGACTGATCGTTATATTTTTGTACATGTTAATTTTAAATTTAAAAATTTTATCTGAATAAACAAATCAAAATTTTGACTTGGAAAGTTACGAGTTAATTTAGTTTGAAAAGAGCGAGATCGAGTAAGTTATTTTTCCAAGTTATCGAAACAAATGTGATTTCTCAAATCGATAGAAAATCCATGCAATTGATTTACAAGACAAATTATTGTAGAGAAATATGGGATTGAACGAGAGGATTTACCACCTAGAATAATGAGCCTTCATTAATCTTTTTAGCCTAATTTAATATGCTCATGCTGGAATGTTACCTACATAAACCTATTATGTTAGTTGAGATATTCACCTCACCAATAGTTAGCTGGAGCAATGTGATGGCTACGTGAAAATGAGCCACCTAGAGTTAACGAAGGCTCTTTCTCTATTAAATTTTAATATACTAATTTAACCATGAACGATGTTATTAAAGAGTATAAAAAGACCATATCACTTAGATTATTTTCTTTCTTCCCATGTTATGAGGGCTTTTACTTAAGAGGGTGGTAGAAAATAATATAAATCGGAGGTTTCGTTTAAAAACTTAAATGGAATGGTTTTTGACAATAGGTAGATGCACTGAAGTTCTTGAAAACCATTGTAATACTGTTTTACCCAGTCATAATTGTCCTGGTTGTGGGAAACACACCACAAGAGCTGACCATTCTTTTGAATTTCTCAGATGTCTGGATCCTGTGCCTTCTTCTTCTTTACATAGTTAAAGCTCTCTGGCAGTTTTGATTGTCACAATAGATAAACATGATTCTTCTTTTATCTGTGTCAAATCTGAAGTTTTTTTTTTTTTTTTTTTTATGTTTTCGAACCTTTCAAGCATTTTGATAAACTTAAAACATTCAACTGATGATTTTGGACATGATGAACGGAATTCTTAGATTCAACTCGGGGCTGAGAAAGAGCTCTACATGAACTGAATCCACAGCTATGCTGAGAATTGGGTTTTCCAACTCCTTGATAAAAAAAAATGCTTTAGATTGTGTATAAGCGTTTTATCAATTTCAATAACAAAGAAAGTGTTAGGCATCAATCTAGACAATTTGAAGATTGCTTGGCTGTTGGGAAAATACTGGGAAATGGCTTGAAGTTTGCCTAGAGGCTGCTGGGAAAATATGAACTGTAAGTGGCAAGCTGAGCTGGAGGACTGGTTGGTTGGCATGGGAGTGACTTGAGACAGGCTGGCATTTACTTAACTAACTAAGCCACGAAGTGGAGGGAGTTACAAGCTAGTTAGAGTCAGTTAGTAATCTGTTACAAGTCAGTTGGCCAGTTAGCTAGATATTGGTATATAAACTAAGAATTGTGGAGAGGAATGTAGCCTGGATCATTTGTAACAATTCTCTCTGTCATTCTTCAAGAACTTCTCTCTGTAATCTTCTTGCATTCAACTTGTGTATTCAAAAGTCTATTGCATTTCATTCAGTAAAGCTACGGATTCTTCAATTATCCTTGAGTCTTCTTGCTGGAAAGTTTAACTCGCATCAGAAAGAGCTAGTATGGTGAAGCCAACACAGAGCCCTTACTGACATAGGCATGGAGCCACATACTATATAGGTAGAAGAGAAATCCCTAAAAGTCATACGTGTTATTCCCAAAGCAAAGCGAAAGTGCAGAATGCTTTAGTCATTTCGCAGAATTTTTTGATGCCATTCTCGAGATACTGAAAATGTTTCACTACTGACCATTTGGTATAGATTTCCTTCTCTGTAGTCTTCTTTTGGAAGAATATATCCTATCAAGCATAAAAATGAATGCATCTCGTCAAAAACTGGAATTACATTGGAAGCAGGAAAGCCTAAAGGATGCCGCTCTTGCCAAGTGTGGTGTGAAACACTTACATATTTTGAATGACTCCGATGAATGATCTTCTCATCTGGTTGTCCTAGCCAGATGCATTGTCGAAGAGTTTTTCAATTAGCATATTCCAACATTTGTACGTATGTTATTTTAGGTTTTTCTTGTCAAAACCAAATAATTCAAGTACTGTGTTTTTAAGTGTTAATTCCTGATTACGAGAACGACACAAGATTAAGATTTATATGTTTTATTTAAATTTTTACTATATTTTAGTAATTTGGAGGTTTGCTGGAAAGTGTGGAGATATATTGTTGATGTAATTAATGAGCTTTATTAATTTTTCCCATTCTATATAGACTTTTTTTTTTTTTTTTGAAATTTAAATCTTTAATAGATTGATTACAAATAGGGATGACAATGAGTCGGGTACAAAACAGGTATATGCTTTATCCAACAAAATAAATACCCATTAAAAATGTCTAATGGGTATTAAAGTAGATAAAAATAAAAAAATATTTAGCTACTAATATGATTTTAGGACATGGATACTCACTCTTTATCATATTAATATGCACTAATTTATTTTATTTTTTTATTAATATATAAAAATTTAATTGCATAAATTTTAAAAATTAAAAACAAAAATATTTTTTAAAAAACTTTGAGAACCAAAAAAATTTATAAATAAATGACCAAAGTGTAAAAAAATTAAATTTTAAAGATCATAAAACTTTTTAAAAAAATTAGTGAGACTAAAATGAATAGTTTTTGATAAATCATTTTTAATGAGTATTACATAAATGAATAAACTAATATGAATAAGGTATGAGCTGAATAAAAATCTATTTAGTATTTTTTAATAGATAAAGAGCAGCATATTTTTATGAATATGATAAAAAAAATTAATTAACGTATCGGTTAGTAATTACAAAATACAAATAAAGTGAAAAAGTTTCAACTCTCTCTCTGTATAAAAAAAGCAAATGTTGGGCCCAAATATCACATGAGAAAACAGGCCCAGCCTGATTCTTTCTCCTACACTGCGTTAGTTGCCTTACGTTTTATATTCCCTCTTTTTCTTAACAACAGTTCTTATTCGTTCTTCGCAGTTGGCTGTTGTTGTCTCACTAAAAAACTTCCGAGCTCTCTCTATCAACTGTAAGAAACCATTTCCCTTTCTCTCTCCTATTTTGTGGCCTTGAATTTATTTTAAAGAAGAAAATCTTTCTTGGGTTTCTGTTTTTATGATCTGGGTTCTGTTATTTTCTTGAAATTTTGTGTATAAGCATTTAAAAGATTGAGCCTTTTGTTTCTTATATGCTCCTTATGTGGTTTTTGCAGGAAGGATGTCGAGCTCAAACATTATCATGTTTGAAGATATTTTTGTTGTTGACAAACTGGATCCTGATGGCAAAAAATTTGACAAAGGTATATATGTTTTTAATTCTCCCCTAATTCTCTTTCTATGGCTTCTTGTCCAATGCTTTTATACTGGCTAGAATAATCAAGCAACTACAAGGCTAAGACTTTTTCACCTTAAATCAATTTTCTTTCTCAATCTCTCTCCTTTCTTTTTGCCCATTGTGATTTTACTTGTGCTGGATTTGCATAATTGCTTTTTTATCGATGCTCTTGTCAAGTGTGGTGTGAAAAACTTTGCTTGAGTGACTCCGATGAATGATCTTATGATTGTCCTAGATGCATTGTCGATGAGTTCTTCAAGTAGATATTCCAACTTCTGGATGTTATTTTAGGCTTTCCTTGTCGAAACCGAAGAATTCAAGTGGAGATGTCATGTCTGTTTTAAGGGTTAATCTCTAATTATCAGATAAGCATATCTATTCTTCGTCCAGTTCCCTTGTTGAATTGACTTCCTTTTGACAGTAGTATGCTCATACTTAGAATTTCTGTGCTGTGTTGTGTTTAATTGTTTGGTTGGGTAATTTGAATGTGGCTGATCTGAGTTCATCACAAATCAGCCTGATAGCTACTGAGGTTCGTTGTTCCGAGAAATTGGAATGTTTTCTCTTAACTTTTGTCATGCCATGAATTACCTCTTGAGTGACATGTTTTCAGTTAAAGGAGATACTCCTACACACTGCAATCTTGTTATCTAACTGATAAAAATTTGACCATGTTCTAGTTACTCATTCATTTTTTACTCTTGTAAATGAATCTTGTTGATAGCATGTTTAGAAAAGATCTTTTGAGCTACATTTAGGTGCAGACTTATAGTTTCTTTAATGTGTATGAAGTGACTCGCATTGAAGCACATAGTCAGAATTGTGACATGTTCATGCACCTTGATGTGAACACTGATGTATATCCCATGTATGTGAATGACAAATTCACAATGGCCTTGGCCCATACACTGAATTTGGATGGTACACCTGACACTGGCTATTATACTCAGGTAATCTTGTTCTTCTTTTGTTGTATTTCTAATTAAATTGTTGATACTTGAACCTCTTTTTTGTCACTAAATTTCCTTGTGAAGTTATTGCATAGTTAATGAATTGTGCTACATTGTCAGGCAGGGAGAAAAACTCTTGCTGACAAATATGAATATGTGATGCATGGGAAGCTTTATCAGATTCAAGAGGAAGGATCAAGAAGGGCAACTCGATCGTATGTATCCATGTTTGCATTAATTTTTGCATTTATGCAAATATGTTCATTCGATTGTACTTTATTATTTTTCTTTATATCCAACTACTGCATTATATAATATTTTTTTTCGGCCTCAGGGAGATAATCATTTCATTTGGTGGGCTGCTGATGATGTTGAAGGGAGATCCTTCTTATGTCTCTCAGTTTGAGCTTGATCAGAAGTTGTTTTGTCTGATCAGGAAGCTGTGAAGCTCAGTACTACTCCTATGTCCCTAAATTTTCAGAATAGCATATAATGTTCCTCTAAAAATTTCCAATGTAGCATTTGTTGATGTTTCAGTTTTCTTGTTGCCATACTTATTCTTACATATCTATGTAGGATTGTCCTCTAAAACTGGGGTATTTTCCCTAGATTGTATCCTAGTGTCTATGTTGCATATTTTTATGTTCTCTGAAACCTTTCTTCATATCTATTTGGTCATGAAATGTGTGTCCATCTGCAAACACTTGCATGCCACTCTATTGTGATTGGAAAGGAAATGAGTGTTCCATCCAAAATCCAAACTTTTACCTGAGCTGATGCCTTCCTTCCGTACTATGAAATGGGAATTGAATATGGTTTGGATCAACTGAGATTCATGTAGTGGCTTCCTCATCTCCTTCACTTGCCAACCAGCGAAATTGATCGGTCTGGTCTTTTTCATCTTTTAGATATCAGAATTGGATAGCCCTGTGGTAATCTGTGCAAATTAAAAGTTCATCAAGAGAATTCTTATCAAGCGTTTTCATACCCTGTAGTTGAAGGAATTGAAGATCTTCATTGATAATTAAACGGTCAGGGCTATAAAGTTTCAACCAAAAGCATTAAAGTTGTATATTGCGAAGCTTTCAACCAAAAGCCTCTTGTGTCTGAAGTGCTGAACTATATATATATATATAAACGGTCAGGGCTATAAAGTTTCAACCAAGAGCATTAAAGTTGTATATTGCGAAGCTTTCAACCAAAAGCCTCTTGCGTCTGAAGTGCTGAACTATATATATATATATATATATATATATATATATATATATTTGAGAGAGAGAGAGTGAGAGTGTTTTGCACGTGACAAATTTCAAACAATTTAAATTATTTTAATTGAGATCGTAAATTTTTTTTTTCAATTTAAATTATTTCAAATAAGATCTAAAGTTTTCTTTTCTTTTTAAATTAAAAGTTTTATTTTTATATTATTATTGTTTCTAATTCTTTCTTTCTAAATTAAGAATTTTATTTTTATATTGATATTATTTCGGATCCTAATGTGCTACGTAACAATACGTGATACGCTCTAATCAATAACGAGTTTGTCATATCTTATCATGATGGTTTCAAATTGAATGATTGAATTGAAGAAATAGCAAATTATAACTGACGTGATGTTGTTTCATGATGATTTTTTTTCAATAGGATAAATTATGATTAAACTTGTTAAATATGCTTAGTGGTAAATTATTATTGATTAGGATTTGAAATAATAACAACATAAAAATATGATCTCGATAAAAAAATATTCAAAAATTTAGAATCTAAATAAATAAAATTCAAAATATATAAGACGCATACCCTGTGTGTGTGTATATATATATATATATATTGAAAAATAAAAGCAAAACAACCCTATTACATATTTACCCTAACAGCTAACAAGACAGCACTCTCGCTCACACTTTCATTCTCCCTTTACCTCTCAATCTCGGCACAGCCTCATCGACCCTCTTTCTTCCCCCTCCCAGCCCTCAGTCCTCAACTGTCCAAACTAACTCTGTCTCTCTAAGCCGCCTCCAGTCAGCCAGTAACGCACGCCTCTTCCCTTGCCTTCGCCTGAAAACTGAAAAGCGTCTGCTCCTGCTCCCCTCCTCTTTCCGAAAACCTCAACTCACCAGCCGCCTCTCCCCCTCCTGCTGCTGCTGCTGCTGCAGCGCTGCTAACAATAACACTCCTCAGTCCTCTCGGCTCTCAATTCCACATTTCAGGGTTAGTTATTTTTACTCTCCTTTTCTTTTTTCTTTCATTTTTCTGTTTCTTTCATGTATAAAAAGAAAAAGAATCTCAGTTAGCAAAGCTAAATCCATCATCAATATATAGATAGAAACATATTGAAATATACACCCAACAAAAGCTTAAATGAAAACAGGCACGAATAAAACCCAGAGTATCTTGCAAAGATGATGGAAGATTTGCTTGACTTCTTTGTCATTGAAAAACTCAACCCTGATGGCAAGAAGTATGATAAAGGTATGCTCTCTCTCTCTCTCTCTCTCTCTCTTCCTTTAAATTCTAGTAGCTCTTACACTGTATTATTCAGTTTGATCACTTTATTTTTCTCAGTTCTTTTCTGGGTTGTTATTACTTAGTAGTTTCCTATGTGCTAAATGTTGCTTTATGGTTGAATTAACAACTTGAATTGACAAAGAATTGCTTTTTAGTTACGTTTTTGGCTTTGTTTTGGAATTTCTACTACTATTAAATTGGTATGCATAAAAGAGCCTTCTATTGTGGCGTGTAGTTTTACCTTGAAGGATATGAGAAATTAATGTTTGCTTCGATCTCTACTGTAATGGGGTTTTTCAAATATTGAAAAAAATTGGAAATTTTGTAATATGTGGGGTTGAAATTTGACCTTCTATTGTGAGATATTTATACTGTATGGTATTTAACTGAATTATTACTAAAACTCTCCCTGCTGCAGTTCTAGTTGGTTTTATCTGATAATCTATTTGGCATATCCAGACTTTCTTTTGCAAAACTTGATGGAACTAATAAGATTGATGAATTCCTGTACTTTTTTTTGGCACTGGAAGTGAAATTTTGAACGTGTAAACTGTGCTTTTGTAGTTTCTCGCGTTGTAGCACGCAGTGAGAAGGAAGATTTGTATATGCTGCTTGATGTGCACACAGAAATTTATCCTATTGAAGAAAAATCAAGATATCTGGTCCTATTAACAGAAACATTGAACATTGACGGCACTCTGATTAGTCCTCATGATGCCCAGGTAATCCTTTTCACTTTATTTGCAATAACTCTGACATGTTCTGTGTTTGGAATGGCTTAAATACTGTATATTCTTATGTTTCTTCTACATGTTTGCATTTTATACATTTATTAGTGTTGACACATTATATTATCTTCAAGATCACTGCTTTTCAAAGCCATCGACAATTACATGGCTTTTAAAAATACAAGTTCTTAAACACTGCTATTACAATTGGAATAATTTTATGTATGAAACTAAGGTTGTTCGAATTTTACTTCTAGTCGAAACGAAAGTCAAAGGTACATAGTTTCTCGTCCAAATCTGACTCCATCATTGTTCATGCTAAATATTTTCTTTTTCTACTTGCAGTAGATTGAATGACCATTTTGAAATGAACATAACTGTTCCTTTTCCCAATCTGTCGTTAAATCATGTGATGCATGAGGAAGGTCCTTTGCCAGTTTTTTTTCTTTTTTTCCTATGTTCATTTGTTTACTCTAATGATCACAGTAGTTACTTAGAGATAACAATACTGAAGTTTTGGAATGTTCCATCTGTGCTATGTGACTGTAAGTTTCATGCTGGTGTTTAAAGTTTATGTAATGGCTGGTAACCAAGTCCATCCCCTGAAGCAAGACTCTTTGCAACGAAGTCTGATATGTTCCCATTTTGATATTCTTGCATCAACTGAAAACTTTGACTTTCAATGAAGAATGAGAAAAGGCTTGTAAATGCTTGATCATTCTATGGCATAGTTCCTTCCTGTATCCAAATATTGTTTGCTTGATTGGGTTCCTTGTCAGACTCACCAGTTAATCCTTACTGTAGCAATTCTATACAAGTTTGATGCCTTTTCTAATTCTGAAAACCAATTCTCTTTAACAAACACACCACATAGAGTCAGCATTCCATGATCAGGATTCTGTTCTGTGATAACTAATGTGCAGGTTAAACCGGTAGTTGTATTGGAGGAATGTTCTTATGAATGTATTGAGCTAAATGCTCTCAATTTTTTTTTTTTTTTTTTTTTGGGGATAATTCTGTAATGATGGAACAGTGACCTTGAAAGTTTATTAGTTGATTTGCATGATTTGAACTTGTCTACCAGCTTCTAGACAAAGCCAGAGTTCTATTGCTATTGGGTAAGTAAAAGAATCGGGCCTAATAAAATGATTTGAGGCTATTTGCTAGGGTAGGATCCCAGCTATAACATGCTTGAACGATGTATTAGAAACCAATTTACATTATGTTACTAATGATTGTTTATTTGTTTCCTTTAGATTTGCTTGTTACAAATAATTATATCGCCTTACAGGTTAATAAACCGTCCAAAGAAGACAAGTTTGAGTATGTGACACACGGGAAACTTTATAAAATTGAGAAGGAAGGTTCAGGAGCTGATTTCAAGCTGTATGTACCATACTTGTACTTGCACACAAGTTGATTTCATTGAGCATTATCTTTTCGTATCTGTCTACATTTTAGTTCCAAGTATATCATGGGACAGCTTATATCATCCAAGCAATTGACTATTGTTCTTTCTTTGTTTTTTTTTTTTTTGGGCTTTAGGGAGATCTACATTTCATTTGGTGGACTTCAACTGTTGCTGAGGGGGAGTCCTAGCTCGCTTTCTAGGTTTCAGCTCGATAAAAACTATTTTATGTTGATGAGGAAGATGTAGGTAGAAACATTAGTCTCTCTATCTGAGCCTTGTTCCATAATTTTCTACTCAGTTGTAAACTTAATGGATCAGCTATATATGCTTAAGTTTCTGTTACGTATAATTCTAAGGACTGAATGCTAATTATTGCAAGTCTAAATTTTGATAATCATCCATCCTCTTTCAAAAAATTGGTAATAGATTTTGCAACTACCAAAGAATCTTGAATACAAAGAATCTGGAATTTTGATAATCAGTTTGGAGCTCCATTAGAACTTGATCAATGATCCGTTTGTTTCAATTAAAAAAAAAAAAAAAGCTAGTATTCTAAATGCCCTTTCTTTTTTTGTCTAAAAAGAAAATCACAACTAAAATTTCTAGATGGAGAATTAAAATTATGATAGTCTCATCATGCTTCTCTGCTATAGATGACAACACAGAAGATTGAAAATATTCTTCAGAGCTATACAGCTGACGATATTGCTATACAGCTGTTGACAAGAAAGAATCATCATAACAAAATCTTTTCTTGATCAAATTGTTTGTGTAGGGCGATCATGTGTTCTTCAGAGCT